CTTCTTCCATGATTTAGCTATTGTGTGTATGCTGCTTGCTAGTAAGCATGGGTGTATAAATACCACTGTAATATGATGACTTTATGTCTTTAGGGAAGATACACAAAAAACACAGCTGAAAAAAAGAAAAGGCACAGCTGGGTCAAATGGAATTTCTAATTCTAGTTTTTTGAGGAATCTTCATATAAATTTTCATAGGGCTTATACTAGTCTATATTCCTACCAGCAATATAGAAAGATCTCTTCTTCCTCACAGTCTTACCAACGTGATTTTTTTTTTGAGATTTTTATAAAAGCCATTCTTATAAGGGTTAGATGGATTCCTGGTGATGTTTGTATTTGCATCTCTCTAATGGTCAAAGTTATTGACCAATTTTTTCAGCCATTGTTAACGATTTGCACTTCCTCTGAGAAGTGTTCATTCGTTTTATTTTTTATGTTTACGTGATATTTCTGAGTTCTATATGTGTGCTAGATATTATTTCTCTGAAAATGAGTAGCTGGAATTCTTTTGCCATTCTGAAATCTGTCTCCACATTCTGTTGACTGTTTCTTTGCTGTGCTCAAGATTTTTATTTTGATACAATCCCATCTGCTCATTCTTGGTATTCTATCTCCGGCAACTGGGCTCCTGCGATACAAGTCCTTGCTACGCCTGTGTCTTCAAGTGTGTGTCACTGGATTTTTCCTCTGATGTGTTTATAGCTGGGTGTGACACCGTAGGTGAAGCCTGATGGGAGGAGGTAGTCACTGTAGGCGTTGCCTGGAAAGGTGTGTGTCTTCTCCTTTGATGACTGCTGCTTCCTGCCTACCATGCCAAAAACTCTTTCCTCTCTGCTGTGCCACCATGGTTTGAAGCCAAACCACTATGGACTGAAACCTCCACAGTCAGAATTAACCTTCCCTCTGTTAACTTTCTGGTGTTTCATATTTTGTCCCAGCTACAGGACAGTAACAATATGGATCTAGAGTGGAATTTCTTCCTTTCTAGGGACTACAAAACTTTATCCCAAGCACTTCTTACCTTTAAGCTTTATTCTGAGAGGACTGGGGATATAGCTCAGCTGCAGCAGTGCCTTCCTGGCAAGCGTGAGGTCCTGAATTGGATTCCTGATACCATTTAAAAGAAAATAATGGTGTATTCTGAGAAATCTGCTTTTAAGATAAGCTTGCCTGTATAAGCCTCTCACACATCAATTACTATTCTCTCTTCTTGCTGAATTTCTGGGGTTTTGACAGTTACGTGTGAGTAGCTCTTTAATGAGCCTGGCTCTTGGGCGTTCTGTTACCTCATTTACATGGAAACTGAATGTATTCTCTTATCTGAAAGATAACTTTGGCTATGATTTTGATTAACAAAATTATGTAGCCCTTCTGTTGTCTTCCAGTACGTTTTTAACTTACATAGTTGGATTGTCTTTTTGAGTTATCTAGCAGCTGTTTCTTCCAGTTTACATTTGTTTGTTTGTTTGTTTGTTTATTTACTTATTTATTTATTTGTTAAGACAGTGTCTCACTATGCAGTTCACTGGCACTGAACTCTTGGAAATCCTTCTTCTTCAGCCTCCCAAGTGCTCGTGTTACAGCATCACCATACCAGGCCCACTGTGATGTGATTTTTAGAGAGTCACTCAGTCTGTGACTCACTATACAAATCTTTTCTGCTAATTATTGACTCCCCTCTCACATTTGTAATTTTTACTGATCATAATTGCAATTGACATTTTATATCCAAAGCTTCTGCTTGATTTCATGAACTCCCTTTCTTTACTAAAACCACCACTCATGTCTTGTATCATCTGTTTAATCAGGTTTTATTTGGTGTCCTTTAATCTCATGGTTTATTTTACTTCTTGAATCCTTTGTCTCTTTGTTTACATACTCTTTGAGCTTAGAGTTTATATGGATTTGTTCATTTGTTTCTCCTTTTACATCTTTAGACACTTCAGCATTGAATTTTTTAGGCATTTGCCTTTGCCTTTCTCTTCCTCAGTACCTTTGAGATCAGTTTTGGGGGAGTTAATAGCTTTTGAATGAATCTTGTTGCTGTGTAGTCTCACGCTTCTGTTCTTTTTGTGTGGAGTGTAGAAGATCAATTAGGGCAGAAAAACTCCATCGCTATGATAGAGTTCTCATTAGTTAGTGCATGTTTTCCTGTTGTACTACCTTGGTTTTAATTATGCTTCAGTATTTATACACCTCCAGGAGCACGTCAACATAATGCAATCAGTTCCAGGTCAGTGTGTTGCAAGGAAAGAACTACTCCTGGTCATATCAACATCTACAGAATCAATTACTTATCCTTTTTTTGTTTGTTTTTTTATTAATTTATTTTAAAAATTAAAGAAGGAAAACATATTAAAAAACAGACATCCATTAACAAGATAGCATAAGACAATACAAGCAATACTGACTTACAGAGAAAGTGGTAGGAAATTAACAATGGTTGTTGTATTACGTATTGATATCTTCAAAGTGGTTTCTCAGGAAAACAAATAGAGACATGCAAGATTGATCAAATAAGTAATTATTAACTGTTCCTTTCAGTAAAGCAATAGAAGTCAATAGTACAACTATGTTAGCTATCCTACATACACATACATACATACATAATTTCCCTTTCTTTCTGTGCTCTTTTCCCTCACCTGAGTTGCTCTTTACTTTTTTAAAACTTGTTTTAAAATGTTAATAGTTATTTTATTTTTATTTATTTATTTATTTACTTATTTATTGGTCTTTTTGAGACAGGGTCTCGCTATGCAGTTCAGGCTGCCCTTGACCTCAATTTGTAGCTCAGGCTGGTCTTTAACTCATGAGGATCCTCCTGCCTCAGCCTCCCAAGTGCTGGGATTACAGGCCTGCGCCACCACTTGCGGCTTAATAGCTGTTTTAATAACCGAAAAAGATTGATATAATCCTGATGATGAGAAAGAAGGGACATGGCTAATGACATAAGGGAAAAGAAAGATAAAAGGGAAGATTATAGTTTAGAAAGAAAGAAAAAGAAACAATAAAAATGAAAAAGCAGCAAATAAAGGAAAAAAAAGATAGAGCTTGATTGATATTATTTTTGTGTCTGGAGTGGAGCGGTTGTGGAGACGTTGCTTGAAAAGTTATTCAGAGGATCAGCAAGAAAGAAGAAGAGGAAGTGGAGTGGAATTGCAGATAGAGGGACGCTGGGGAAATTGGGAGCAATTTAATGTGCTAACGGAAAGCTTGCACTTGAAACCTTCATATACAATGTCTGGTAAAGGTTAACCTGGCATGCCAAAGAATGTGTTGTTTTAATTAGAACTAGGCTAGTAGTTGAAAATATAAGTAATCAAGAATATAGATCTGAGTTTCTCTTTCCTCTAGTTTGACAGCTATCATCAAAAACTAATAGAAATGCCAAGTGGGTTGCGGAAATGAAATAAGCTTGAAAACAAAGGTAATACTTTTACAGCTTTTCATAAATTTCATGAGATAGTACTTTTTCAGTTTAACTTCTGCGCTATAAATCAGTTTAAGTAGGCTTCTTTCAGAGCCCTGGTTTTAGTTTTTTAATCTTCGTCAAGTTAGTAAATCTATAAAAGCTTGGAAATACTACCAAAATGGTATTCAACAAGACATTGAGAAGATATCACAGGCACATACTAATAGTATTACAGCATTGATAAACAATAAATTGATTAATAAAAGTCATTTTTAAAATAGATAAATTGTTGCCAAATATTGGACTTTTTATTTCCTTAAGGTTAGAAAAGAAGCTTTCCTGTCTCTCACATGAATGAAATTAAAATTTATATATGTGACTGGGTATATGCAAGTGATAAAACACTTATAGCATTCACAATACCCTAGATTTGTCACCAGGAGTATAAAAAATTATCTGTGGATGAAATTAATGTGTTGTTAATTAACAAAAGCCATAAACTAGGCTATGATTTATATTTTCACAAATATAATTGATTTTCACATCAGATACTAGATGGCTGAGTTTAATAAACATTTTGAAATTTACCTTTCAAGAATAACAAAATTAGTATCACTGAAAACATCATGAAATATTTTGTAATTTAAAAATAGATATTAGTTTTTTGAACAGTCCCAGAAGCAAGTCATAAAAATTAAATTATATTTTTCAGTATATTTTACATTTGAGAGAAAATGAAATGGAATTGCTCCAATCCTGTACTGGTATTATCATTAAAATAACAAATACTTAATAAATTATCATAAATTAATATTCATAAATAATTGAAACCTGTATTTCTAACCACATTTTCATATATTTACTTTGCAAAAAAGTATATTAATAAATATACTGAAGGACATATATATGTATAAAATGAGAAATCAAGATTTATTACTTGTTATGTTTAATTTACAAATATTAGTAGACTAAATATTGATATATTTTAGTTTACATAATTAACCTTACGTTAAGTAGGCAAATGTTTAAGAAAAATGGAAAATATAATTTATGCATGTTTTATTCATATAAATTACCTACTAAACTAAGACTAGACAAATAAATGAGCGTATTTAAATATTTCATATCATTTAAGATATGAGTGAAGAAAAATGTTACAAAATAGTTTCTCATACAATAATATATAAAGCAATTTTACTCAATACAATAATTGAAAAATGTATTGACAAATTGCAGGTAATGACATCATCATGCTAATGAGTTTCCAATGATTTTTGTAAAAGACAGACATCCAATATCAATATTATAAAATAATTTGTACCAAAACACACTGTCACACAGTAATCAGAAACAAACAAATTAGTCAAGAATAATAGAGTAATCTCTACTCTGATTAGTTTTATAAATGCTTAACTTTCTATCTACAGAAAATATGAATTGTATCAAACAGAAAGTATTATATAAGTCAATATATGCGACATATCTTTACGAAATGTTTCAAAAATTACTAAAATGTTTCTCAGTATCTTCTAAACATTACTATTTTGTTAAAAATGCAAAGCCAGGGAACTAAAAACCAGCTCACCTTAGAAAAACTAAAGTACGTTGAGCCTGTAATTTGAAGTGAAATAAACTAAAGACTGAAGCTTAACTATCACATCATTTCTTTTATATGAGAAGCCCTGCATAAAATAGCAAACAAAGTAAGTTAGTTAATAGGAAATAGGGAGGCAGGTCTTTAGTAAATAGGAGTGGACTAAGAGATGAAATGAAGGTGCAGGGGGGCAAAGAGAATGACAATATGAATCAACATATATTTTGAACATATACCAACTTTTCAGCGGAATGTAATTATTATGTGCTGTAAACATATACCAATACAAAGTAATGACTGCAAACTTACATTACAGAAGCAAAACTATTTCCAAAATATCTCCACTATTGAAGCTCTGCAATATGAAACAAAAACTACAGAGCCAAAAAAGTTAAACGTCTGATATTTCTTAAAATCAATTACTCAGAATATAACAAAATAAAAAAATTACACTCAAGTACTCTTTTTGACCAAAAATGAATATTAAGCCTAATATAAAAATAAATTTTATAATTTTAAAATGCCCGAATCAATATGCTACAAACATTTTATTATGCTTTTATATTTCTGGTACCTTAAGGAAATTTAGTCTTTTAAATCAAATTTTCTGTATAAAATAAAAGCTGATAATCATTAAGACCTTATCTACAAAGGCCTTACAACTTCCAGGAACTCATTTGGTTTCTCAAAATTTCAAATCCCTGGATAATCCGAGCAGATGAGCTGCCAGTGCTCTCCCAGCTAAAAGACTGAATACCCAATGCAGTTAGAAATTTGCAAAACATGGCATTTATTGAGAAAAAGGTACTTTCCTCTTGTACAATAAGGGAGATTAAAATAGTCATGGAAAGAATCTGACTTAGCTATATTCATTATGAAGTAATGACAGTATCCAACTTCTAGGGTCACAGCTCATAGCAGAAATGTATATTTGTTTCACAGAAAATTCTCAAAATACAATACAGTTTACTTTGAAGGACACATGGCAGCAGACATTTTTTTTAAAACTTTAATTTATAAATATATCACAGTTACATAGGAAATGAAAACCTCTTTGAGAGCATTGGGACCAGTCACACTGTAAGAATAATATTCAGTGAATGAAATATACTAAATCCACCAGAAAAAGAGTCAGACTAACCACTAAGGTGGCCTTCTATGGTGTGAGCAGTTTTTTGTCTTCAAAGTTGGATGTCAGTGGCTAGCATAAGGGGAAATTGAAGGCTTTTTACTCAAAGCGTGTAGCCATTCAATTATATAAAATGAAAAAGTTCCAGAGATTTGTCATACTATGTTGTACCTATAATTAATAATGCTGTATATACATTTAAAAATTTAAAAGGGTAGATAGATATCATGTTATTAGTACAATAAAAGTATATACTTATTATAAATAATTTGCATATAGAAAAGTTACATCTATTGCATTTTAAATGTCTTACCATGTCAATAGTAATGTCCTTCATTAAGGTCTATAAAACATTAAAATTTAAATAATATATGTGCCTCACTTGTATTCAAGTATAACATTAAATTTATATAAAAGTTTAAAATTATAAGAAAAACTTCATAATATTGCATTAGTGAGACCCTATATTCACAGTATATTACACACTACATCTTTTATCTAGGATAATCTGTATTTGATAAACAAAACTTTAACATGTGAATCTATTCCTATAAATATTTATTAATATACACTCATCGAGCTGAGATAATATTTGATGGGAAATAGTCAGTCTATGCTTTTTTAAAGATTTATTTAAATTGATTTAATGAAAATGTATCAAGTGATATTTTTCAAACATAAAACAATATTGGAACACTATTCACAATATCAAAGAAATGATACAATCGAAATGTTCATCAGCTCATTAATAGATAAAGAATATGTGGCATATATCTACAATAAAACATTCAGCCTCAAAACTTAATAAAATTCTGTCATGTGCAACTACAGGGATGGAATTGGAAATTATTGTGTTAAGTAAAATAAACCAGGCTCAGAAAGATAAGCACCGCAAAGATAAGCTTTGCATCATCTCATTTACATGGTGAAGCTGAGAATAGAATGGTGAGTTCTAAATCGGGGGAGCATAGGTGTGAGGGAGGGACAGGAAGTTTAGTCAGTGCGTACTAAGAATAACAAGGAAGAATTTCTGCTGTCATATCGTGCAGTAGAATGATGACACACAAAAAGTGTATTATACATCTCAGAAAAGTGGAAGAAAGTGTTTTGAGAGTCAGTAGAAAGGAAACAAATGTTTCACGAGATAGGTATGTTTACTCTGGCTTCCATTTCATAATGGACACTTGTACTGAAACACCACATGTTGTCTCTTTAATAAGGACAGTCTTCAGGGTTTTCAGTAGAGTATCAATTAAAATGAATATAATTACAAAAGCAAATATTGGACAGTTGGGTAAGTTTAGTGAAACAACTTATACATAATTTGATGAAATATATTCCAGATTAATTATAAAGCAAAACAAAATAATCAAAACAGCAAACATCAAGGATTGAATTTTATAACATTTGATTATATTTAATTGTTAAATGGAATGGTACTTTGAAATACAACATTTGAAAAATATGAATTAGGGATAAAACAGTTGTGAAATAATTTTATATCTATCAAAAATGATTGGATAAACAGTGTGATACAGCCATACAATGTAATATTGTTCAAGCGTATCACATAATAAAGTATTGGTACATGCTATCACTTATATCAGCTCAGTGAAATGAACTACTCAGATAGTTATAAATATTTTATCATTTTATTAGTTTGAAATTGCAGAATAGAAAAATTTATTCTTAAAATAGTGTAGTAGCTGCTTAAAGAAAGGATGAAGCAGGTGTATGGAGCTAGATAGAACCACAATGTAAAGGTTTCATTTTGAAGTAGTAAAATATGTTAAAATTTACAATGGTACTGATTGTATACCTCTGTGAGTATACTAAACAAATGAATTGTAGATTAAGTAGATGAACTGTATGGTATATGACCTATATCTCAATCAGTCTGCTTTTAACGAGCACATTAAAATATAGCATGAATTAAAAATGTAAAATCACAATGTCAATCACTTAAGCAAAAATCACTAGGAGTTCACCCTGTAACAGGCACAGAACCAGAATCAGGGGGCAAAACAATTAAGAGCAGTAAGACCAGAAATGATAAAGATACTAATATTAGCAGACAAGAATATTGGTAGAGCTACTAAAATATACATAATGAGTACTGTAATAAAAGATATTTGAAAATTCCAAATAGAACATCTGTAATTCAAGTCTTCTATACTCCGAGGGAAATTTTTGGTGACCAAAATGAAGATAAGAATAATCTTAGAGAATTAGAAAAAAGATAAGTGAATATGAACACAAATAAGCAGACATTCTCTAACAGTAATTTCAAATTTCCTGTTTATAAAAGCAAAGACTGTAAGACAATGTGTAAACTAATTTTTCAGAATATCATCAAATACTTGCAAAATCTAATGATGATCATTGTTGAAGAAAAAAATCTGATCTTCCATAGCAATAGTAATCTTTGTGGTATTGTAACTGGACCTACTCCCATCTGTCCATTCCAAATATTGTGATACCTTTGAGCAATAAAAACCCTGCAGACATGATTTCTATAAAAACTAACATATTTACAGTCTCAGAAGGGGGCAAAGTGGATTTGAGAATGTTCATAATCCTCATTCTTAGAGCATTTTCATTGTGTGAATCCCCTGCAACTCTCTGGAAAGTGTCCGGTCATAGAGTAATATCATATTGTGAATCCTCTCGCAACTCTCTGGAAGGAGTCCAATCACAGAGTAATATCATACTTTCACCTCACTCAGCTTGTTTTTCCCCTCACAAGACAACTCCTATCACAGTGATTGTTAACAGTGAACTGGTACTATCATAAGTGGAATAAATTGAAGCTTTACCAATACTTTAAAGAGAATGCCTTGTGAGGTAATTTGTATCTTAAATACCTCCTAAATGTTCGTGTGTTGTATAGTTTGGTTTCTAGATTGATGCTACTGGAAGGTGGTAGAGAGATGGGGGCCAATAGGAGGTCTTTAGGTGACCAGTGCCCACACGAGGGGTTGAGGGGTGGGTGCACTCAAGCCTTGGCTGGGGTTTATTTTGTTGTGTTTTGTTGATCCCTATACCATGTTGTGAGTATGGCTCCATAATACACTTCTATCACACTCTGTCTCACTACAGGCTTAAAACGATGTGTCCCACTGATTCTGAATTACAACCTCCAAAATTGTGAGCCAAAATGAATATTTTCACTTAATAAATTGATCATTTCTGGTATTTTGGTTTTTCTCCGGTACCGGGAACTGAACTCACGACCTTGTGCTTGCCAGGCAGGCGCTTTGCCGCTGAGCTAAATCCCCAGCCCCTTTTTCTGGTATTTTGTTATAGTGAAAGAAAGTTAATTTATATCCTTCAGAAATTAGATGGGTATTGGGAACTTTGTAAAGCTATAATTAGTTCCTGAAGACTTAGAAATTTGCATACTTTTGTCCCTGGAAGACCAAACAGGGGCACAGTCTCTCAATTCTGCTGACATAAAGATCTAGAGGAAGCCAAAAATTAGAGGTAAGACAGAGTTGTAAAAATCTGAGGAAGAGAGATGTAGTGCAACACATAAAGCTAAAGCAGAGAATGAATGAAACATTCGTCCCCAATATTTAAATAAATATTCAGTCAGTGGTGTGTTGGTATCTATGATCAATGAAAATAGGCTCATACACACAAGCACTAGCGAGAAGGTACAGACTTTATAAATTCCTTACAGGAATGTCCCTGTGCCTGCAACAGCAACAAAAACAACAAACTATGGAAATGAAGAAAAAATTCACTTTCCACAATTGAGAAAATATATGGTCAGATTTCAACATACATATTACAATGTCCGCAAAGAGAAGTAAATTATCACTCATGCTCAGAAAAGAAACAAGGTTATCAAAAAAAAGAAAAAATTCATGAAGAGGAGTGTGATGTTCAATAAACTGAACCAAGAATAGTTATTCTAAATATGCTTAAAAATTGA